GAACTAGGCCAGGTGTTTGAAGAGTTATGTGTTTCTCTTTTCTTATTGTTCATATGTGTTTATTATTCGTTGGCTGACACATTTTTTTATTTGTTTTTGCCATGTCTTCCAGTTGCATTTCCTCAGGTGGGTGTGGTCAATTCATCCTATAACTTCTTTAGGGAATAACTCTTTGGAGCTTTGGGATGTTACCATGTCTGCGTGTATTTGTGGGAATGCGAAGGATATCTGCCATTTTCATTGTCAACTTCATTTTCTTCAATCTTTGAAAGCTTGAGAATTTTCTCTCTTTTTGTGTGTTATTTGTGGGCATTTAAAACCTTAAAATAATCATGATCTCCAGGTGTTAATGTAGGTTTATGGGACACGTAACTGGCATAAAAACTTATTCTTATTGATGGGTGTGTTTGTACATCATATGCATTTGAGGCTGTTTATTGCCTGTTAATAGTTTTTCTCTCTTTGAGCTGATGCAGGAGAGAGAGTTAATGTGAGGACTTAGATTGTGTGATCGAAATTCAAATCTATTTGGTTGTAAAAGATTCTGGTCACCCAAAAATTAGAGAAAAATTTTCTTGAACTTACTGTGTTTTTTGATCGGGGATGAGTTTTTCTGAAATAGATAAACATATTTGTAGAGCCCTCTAATAATATTCCTAACATGACTTGGAAACCAATAGATACTAGTCCTAATTAGAAAAGTAAAATAAATTCTAACTCAACTAGGAGAAAAAGAATAGATATGACAATACTACAAACAATATAATGTCCTAAATTAACTCTAGGAACTTCAGCAAATAATAGAGTAAGTTACTAAATCAACCCTATCCTTAATGTTAAATAATGATTTTATGCTCCTGCATCATAAATTAATAGATTAACTTGTTATTTTTTTGCTTATTCTGTTTCTTTTGGCCGAAAATTTAATCTTGAAAAAATGGCAATGCAAATTTCAACCTTCTGGTTTCCGGAAGGAAGTTTGCAAATGGTTAAAGATGTGCTCATCCAAAGCATTATTTTTTCATTTGCGGAATTACTATGAAGCATATGATATTGCAAGGAATTTCATTTACATAGATACAGCTGGTTGGCCCTATTTATGATGTTTAAACATTGTTGATGGAATCTATTACCTGTTTACTTGCTTGATTGATTGATTTCAATTGTGTAAATGTTGTATGATCTATAATCGTATTCCATGGCCTCCTCTTGAATCCTTTCTCCGCCACATGGATTCTTACGTTCGACAACTTGCAAAGTGGGGAAGGTTCATCATCAAGGGGTGTCCTACGTGTTTGCGGAAAGTGAACCCCTTAATCATCTCCTTCTTTGGTGTGTTGAAACTAGAAGGCTATGGCATTCATATTGTGTCCTTGGCAGCCAGTGGCTTGATTGAGAATGAATTATGGGCTTGGGATGGTGTTAGGATGTGTTAAGTCTTGGAAAGAAGTTTATCTCTCTCATCCCTTTAGCTATCTTTTGAGCTATTTAGACAGAAAGGGACAAGAGGATTTGATGGCATTTTGTTTGGTTCTGCTAGCATTAGAGAAAATTGGTTGCTGACCATGAATTTTTTGTTTAATCGTCAACTTCTTAGCTATAAAGAGGATTTAGGAGACCTTATTGATATTTTGGTTTATACTCTAAACTTGTAAAGCTTCTTTTGTATTTAGGTAGCACCTCCTTGGTGCCTTGTTAATAATACTAGAATTTTCCTCGCAAAAAAAAAAAAGTAATTAGTGTATTCTTTTGATATTTCTTGAAAACCAGATGGCGAATTCAGCTGCAATTGCGGCTGCCTTTGGTGGAGGTTTGCCTCCTGGGATAAGTGGGACAAATGATAGGTGTACAGTCCTTGTCTCCAATTTAAATCCTGATGTAAGTTGTCTCTTTCATTTTCTTTTTGAGTTCTAGGAGATTTAGCTATCTCATTTATTCCTTCATGCTTGATAAAATTTTATGTTTCAGAGGATTGATGAGGATAAGCTTTTTAACCTCTTCTCTCTATATGGAAACATTGTGAGAATCAAACTTCTCCGTCATAAACCAGACCATGCGCTTGTTCAGATGGGTGATGGTTTCCAGGCTGAGTTGGCAGTACACTTTCTTAAGGTTAGCATTTTCAGTTATGGATTTGTAAATTTCTTAAAGTGCATCTTTTTCCTGAAATAAGTGTGTTTTTTCGGAGACTATCTTGCTATAGAGAAGTATTATTTCATATTCTTCTTACTCATCAGTATGATTATCTGGATTTTTATTTAAAAAAAAATGATTATCTGGATTTTAGTGGTCATCCTGTCACTGGAAGAGCAGATTATTATTATTATTGTGGGCAAAAAATAACTTGGTTAGATTAAATATACAAGATTACTAAACAATGGCTGACCAGAGTATTAATTTTTTTCTCAAAAGAAATGGACATATTTAAAGGGCACCAAGGGGTGCCATTCATGTACAGAGATTTGCAGCTCTGCAGTAACATCATTTTGAATCTATTCAACTTAAATTGGTATTTTCGCTATCAAAATTATAATCATAATTATTGTGAAGAAACATCTACAATAATTAGTCTTGGGCAATTTATTTGTAAAAAATGTATGTATAGCCAAAAATGGACTGCACCTAAAATCGGATCAACTTTTAATTGTTCAAGTTGATTCTATAGTAATAAGATCAGCTAAGCCTTATTTGGCTATTCCAGGAGCAACTTTTCATGGGCAGAAAAGCAAAAATTACGTAGGAGAGTCTGACGCAATAGTAGTGGTCTCTAAGCCTTGTGCAATTATAAGCAGTTTTTTAAAACACTATCTTATTCATCTCTCCAAATATTCCACAATATGGCATGAAGAGCAAGACAGTTAGCTTCCTCTTGCTTTTGTTGCCACAGACACTGTCCCAAGCTAAATGTTCATCCTGAACAGATCCGTTCATTGCCCACCTGATACCCGCAAGGGTAATAACTGAAATCCATAGTCTTTTCCCTTCTGGACACACCATAAAAGAAGATGATTAGAGGATTGTTGTCCACATGCACAACAAGTATCAATTGGTCATGATGCAGCCTCTTTTAAATTGTCCTTGGTGAGAATATGGCACCAAGAGGTTTCCCAAACCAAGAAAGCTGCACAGAGAAAACTGCAATTGTCGGCAGGTTTCCACTCTGGAATTCTGGAAAATCCTCCAAATTGTGATCACCAAACAGGAGGAGGGTAAGCGAGGACGTCCACATAATTGATTGGGACGTTGAGATTACGAGAGAAGGGGAATATGCCAGGAAACAAGCCCCCTGAGCTGATCAAGAAAGCCCCCAATGTTTCCGTTCTTTATTACATGCTAAACAAAAAAGAGTTGGAAGCCTGAATTTCAAAGGAAGATCTCCATACTGTACATCCTTCCAAAAGATTTGGACATCTTTTATTTTTATTCAATTCCAAGATCTTAGTTGTTTAATATGTAAAAGTTAGTCATAATTTACTCATTTGATACATAATTGAATCAAATTCAGTCATATTTTCAATTATACCAATATGAATTTGTATTTCTGCCTGTTAAAGAAATAATACAAAAGCATCAAACTTGAATGAGACATGGAATTAGCTTGGAATTTGAATATTTTTTCATTCAATTTTGTATTCTGTTTTCTGTTATATTTTTATTTCTCTAAAATAGAATTGGAATTTGAACCAAACTTGACGTAAGTGTTCGTCTATGTAACTTCTCAAAGGTTTGAAACATGGGAGGATTTTGGTTGTTCTTAGATGTGCTGTAGAGACTAAAGTCATTACATGTAGATATCCTCCTTGGTTATTCATTTAAATCCTCTAATTACAATTTTTCTCCCAGTATTATATATATTCCCTCAACTAGAGTCGACAACCTAATTCCCTTTCTCTTACGACTGAAAAAGAGTTGACTATATGCAATAGCTATTGACCAACTAAAAGCCGTGAATAGTTACTATAAAATGGATTGCTGCTCCCTTTCTCAAGCAGTGTTGGTTTTGCTTGGTGAGATGAGAAAAATACTTTTGCTAAAATTTGTTTATATTCTTGGTTACAGGGAGCAATGCTGTTTGGGAAGCGATTGGAGGTCAACTTCTCAAAACATCCAAACATAACTCCAGGTGCTGACACACACGAATACATCAACTCAAATCTCAACCGTTTCAACCGTAATGCTGCAAAGAACTACCGTTACTGCTGCTCTCCAACAAAGATGATTCACCTTTCTACTCTGCCTCAGGATATCACTGAGGAGGAGATTGTGAGTCATCTGGAAGAACATGGTGCAATTGTGAATACCAAGCTCTTTGAGATGAATGGGAAGAAGCAGGCGCTGATTTTGTTTGAAACTGAGGAGCAAGCCACTGAAGCTCTAGTGTGCAAACATGCAACAACACTTGGAGGATCTATAATTAGGATTTCGTTCTCCCAGTTGCAGGCGATAAGAGATAACTCACAGTAACGTGTTAACACCGGTAGGAATCCAATGGTGGTAATAAGATAAAATGGATTGGAACTTGGGGAAGGATAATTAATATGTTGCTGACACTTCTCTTGGATGTCTCTCCTTTGTTGTAATGGTGGTTTAACTGCTTTGCAGATACTGTTTTGATTTTCCATTATAATCTCCACTTTCTCTAGTGCTTCTTCTACCACTTTCTTCTTTTGAAATTCTTCCATTACTTAATTTGGGTTAGATTTTTATTTTTGAGATAGTTGAGGTCCAGTTTTGAAGAGTAGGAAATTAAGAAGGAAATGTATTTACCAGTTAGTGCGAGACATTGTGTTTTGTTGTATTATTTGTCTGAATATTTCTTATAATCCAGGCTACTCAGGCCATTTCTGTTGTATTCCCAAATTTATGTTTTTAATCCCATTCCTTTCTATCCCTTGCCTCTTCTTTCTCTTCTTTCTCAGTTTGTCTCCATTCTAATAAACTCTTCTCGTATCTCTCTCTTACTCCCTTGGCTTTCGGATATGTTCGATGAAACACGGTACACCCATCTCTCTCTCTCTCTCTCTCTATCCCTCCCTCTCCCTCTTAACTAGTTCTCTCTTTCTTTCACCCCTCAAATATATGTAGGTTGAAGTTGAAAATATTTATGGTTGATAGAGAATCTCATATTGCAATTTGATCGGAGTGCTGTTTGGTAGTCAGGTCTCATCAAATCTGTTAAAATGACGATATGAAAATAGGAGGATACTCGAGAGTCTCGATGTATTTAGAAAAATGTGCAGAATCACTAAGAACATATTTTCAGACAGCAAGAAAAAGGAGAAAGAAAGGTATAAACTTTGTTATAAAAAAAGTATCTAAAGTAAAATTTTGTTTTAGTTTCAACTTGTAACATACCAATATTTGTTTACAAGTTTTGATGTACTATTTTAAATTTGTCGTCATTTTATAATTTATTTGTATAATGTTACGTATACATAAATACACAAAATAAAATTAACTGTAAATTTATTAAAAAATAAATTATTTAACTTAATAATTAATATAAAACATATGTAGACCATAATTTTTAAATAAATATGCCAGATTAGTGGTACAAAATAAAAATTTTACGTGAAAATAAATGTAAATATATTAAAATAAAATGTTTTCATCAAAGTATCACACATGATTTAAAAAAAATTATAACAATGATTTTTTTAATTATTATCGTTTCATTTATTTTAAAAATCATTTTTTCTTACCGCTCCCCAGTCTTTTATCAATTTTTTTACTCCTCACAGGTATTTCTCTGGCGGAAAGGGAAAACGGAAAACGGAAAACGGAAAACGGAGAAATCCTATCCGTCAACTTCTTATCATCCGTTCTGAAGTCTGATAATTTCAATGAGATCAGGCAACTGGATTGACTCGCATGACAATAGCAGACCCAAATTCTCTAGTTCATGGATTCGGGTATTATCCGGTTATCATCCCCATTCACCCTCGATCGCAGTTTCTTATTGAATTCCAAAAACGGAATTCTCAACTTCCATTCTCTCTGTAAATTTTCTCCCTCAACAGAGTCTCCTTTACCTGATAGGAGACCCTCAAATTGCAGGCTGCAGAGTGGTAAAGCTCCAGACGACGGCGTCGTTTTCGACGAGTTGGCTTTTGAAGCCGAGAGGCTGAGCCTCGACGCCCGGGCACGGGAATCCATGGCCGAAGCCTCAAAAAGAGAGATAGAGTCGGGTTCGGACGATGACCCGAAGGCTTGGAAGTGGATAATTAGAAAGAGAATTTGGGATTTGATGGAGGCCCGGAATATTGCCCAGAACCCGCGCCCCGTTCATCACCGGATTCCTAACTTCATTGGCGCGTCAGTCGCTGCAAACAGAGTATTCCTTTTTTGCTTTTCCCATTTTATTAAGAAAAATATGCTTGTTTTTTCTGAGTTCTGTTCGGCTGTCGAAAAAATTTGGTGACGTTTTCCGGGAAAATGAATGGCAGTTGGGTGAGCTAGAAGTGTTTCAGGCTGCCAATTGCGTGAAGGTTAACCCGGATTCACCTCAAAAGCAAGTCAGGTTGATCACTCTGTCTGGTCAGTCGCTTGCCTTCTTGTGTGATTTTAATGATAGCAATTGTAGTTTCTCTTCACTTATTCTTTGATCGCATGCATCTCAAAAGATTTCTCTTCTTCTTATGTTCTGAATTTTGAATGATTTTAGAGCTTAGTGAAACCAGTTGCAACCCTTCATTTCCTTTTGTTTGATTGTCACCCAGGTGCGAAAAAGTTGTTGACTCCTCAGCCCCGGTTGAGGACAGGGTTTTTCTCTGTACTAGAATCTGGTATCTTGAATCCTGATACCATCGGTGAGGCATGCACTTCTGTAGGAGTAGCCAAATATGGAAGAACAATTGGACTGGATGAAAAGATTAAGGTCGATCTGATTGTCATTGGCTCAGTTGCAGTCGACCCTAAGACTGGTGCTCGACTTGGGAAGGGAGAGGTAATTATCACTAGCATCTTAAATGTGGAACATACACATTGTAGATTATATCAATAATGCACAAAGGAGAATGTGGTATTAAGTTGAATATCTCGGTTTTTGCTGTCTTTTCTTTCTTTAATATCTGTTGTAGGACTGGCAAAAGACTGAAAAGGAATCATGATGATGAAGCTAGGTGCTTGATCAAATAAACACTGTTATTGAGCGATCAATAATTCCAACCAATCGGATGCAAGCTAGTTTTTCTGAGTTTAATTTTACAGAATAAGTGTTACTCGAGGACTTTACATTATAAGCTTTAAAAGGATCCTTTCTTGACCTAAACTTTTTTAAGCTTGATGCCCTTTTGTGCCATGATTATGTTCCGATGAGTGAGACTTTGGATTCAAGGCTTTATGTACCAATTGCTGAAATGTTCTTGAAAGCATTTTTGAATTATAGACTAAACGTGTAACCTGAAACAGAATTTGATTTGTGTAAATTCTTTTCCGCAAAATGATGTTATGCTTAAAATGTTTGCTTTTAGGAGTCCATTAGGATTTTCTTTTCTTTTTCAATAGTTAAAAAAATGGCTTGCAGGGATTTGCAGAGCTTGAATATGGGATGCTGCGTTATATGGAGGCTATTGATGACACTACACCAGTTGTCACCACTGGTAAGCCCTCATCCTTTTTAGATGCTTGCTTCTTGAATTATCTAGAGTCAACAACTCTCATTAACAAGGCTTGTACGCGAGTTGGCATCTCTAGTAACAGAAGAAAACATTATGCCTGAATGCTAGTATATATTCGTTATATCATCTCCATTTCTATTTCTATTTTCCAAGTAACCTGGAACTAATGATCCAGTTAGTATTCAACAAGAAATATCATGGCTACTAGTGGAATGCTAATTGCTCTTCTCCTGCTGATTCTCCCTCATCCCACCCCTCAAATCTCATTCTTCTAAATGTCATTGCCAAACTGATCTATGGATAATGGAGTCCTGACATGAAATCTGTTAATTCTTGTTTGCATTTCTATTTTTCTTCCTTCTACATTAATTGCATACATTTGATCCCATTTGTAGACTCTTTCTTGCAGTGCATGACTGTCAACTGGTAGATGATATTCCAGTCGAGAAGTTGTTGATCCATGATGTCCCTGTCGATATTATCTGCACTCCTTCCCAAGTGATTTTCACAAATGCAATGATTCCTAAGCCTCAAGGTTTGTCTAGCATATTACTTTTTGTAAATTATTTTGGGGAGCGGTCTTTTGATTTTGTTTATAGTTTCTTTCTGAGAGGTTTGGTTCTATCATCTCAATCGTATTATAATTACCCGAATTAATTAAAAATAATAGAATAAATCGTGACATGGTGTTGAAGTTGAATTGGTTTTACATGTAGGAATCTACTGGGAGAAATTGTCTCCAGAAAAGCTAGGACAAATTCGCATTCTAAGAGAGCTCAAAAGGAGAATTGAAGGGGAGACTGGACAGAAGCTTCCTAGTGGCCCATCTGAGAAGTTACCACCCACAGCTCAGCGAAAGTTTCGTGGAAAAATTGGCAAGGACAAAGGAAAATACTACAAATGAAAATAGCATGTTTCTTGTTCTAACAGTAAAGGCTCTGATTGGAGCGCAGTTACACTAAGGAAAATATGAAGTTTATGTTATATATATTGTTTTGATTCTAAATTAAATTCTATGCAAAACTATCACTTCAGTTATGATTTTAATTTCATTAGTTGAAATAAGCAGATCTATAAATAAATTTTACACAAAATTTGAATTTATCCAAAATATAAGTTTCTTATTATTTCATTCTGATGCGCTTATTATTATATACCCTTGAGATGAAAAAAAATAATGAAATGCTCTGATGGGTGAGGAATTAATTTATGAGTATTTTTTTTTTAAATACTTAAACTGCTTATTTTAAAAAGTAAATGAATTTATACAATTTTAAAAAATTATAATATTCGTTGGAAGTAGAACTTCAAACTCTTATATTGTTGAAACCAACAATAAATTATTTTATTAAAAGTTAGAAGATTTTGTGATATCATATTAATGATACAACTAAACTGAATGCCGCTAATAATTTTCATGAAAGATTATTTTGTATAATGAATAAAAATTTATGTGGTACTACACAAATATTAATAACTTAATAAAATCTTAGAACAAAAGAACTTATGGTGCACTAGTTTTATCAACTTACTAATAGAAACTGTCAGTCCTCTGATCATCATTTCTGCTTATATCTAAGAGATATAGTACAAATGTATAAAAAACCAAGAATTGGATCTCAAATTTCTTCTACTAAAAAAGAGGCGGTGCTGGCATACAATAATAGCTAATTGCACAGACGGTGGTCTGATTAATTTCCATGACAATGAACATCATGTTTATGAATGGATCCGCTATGCAGAGAAGCCATTTGTATAGTGTAACTGTAAACTAAAACCTTAAGGTAGCATGTCGGATCTGATTGCTAACTTACAAAAGTACATACCATACTCTTTCAGAAAAAAAAAACGTAGGTATTTACAGATGGTTGGTCAAACCATTGCCAATTCTATTCCCATAAGCATCTCTTTTGCTTTATAAACAATGGAGGGTTGCCTCGGCTCAAGAAATTGTCTAACCAGTTAAAGACCTGTATGCAGAAAAATAAGCAATATAACCATCATTTATTTTGCCCATTTAAAAACCATCAAGCATAACTAAACAATCTTGTTCAGTTAGCAACGAGCTTCTTTCCTACAATGGCAAATGGCAAAACGGATTTCTTCCAGAAAATAGAGAAAAGAAACAGAATATCAGTAATTGCAGGAAACCAAACGAAACTAGAGATGTCATTATCAAACAGCATCTTTCACACTGCCTCTCTCACAGTCTAACCCCACTTCAAGAAGCAATGGACACGTAAGGGAAGGATCGAAAACAATTACCTGTACCATGTATTTTCATATTATATTCTGTTCAGAGGAATCTACTGCCCTGTGGAGGAACCCTATCCACAAGAGAAATTACTTGTGGCATTGTCATACCAACTGAAACAAGGATCTCTGACATGTCAAGGAAAAGAAATAAATCAATAGATATACATGAACAGCAATTATATGAAAGAGAATCTGCAACAAATCTCCAATTTGAAATAGGCAAGTAATTGCATAATATGGATGCATGCATGAAATATATTATTAATTCTTTGGAAAGGAAGAAGGAAGATGTACCATTAATTCCCCCAGTTGAATGTTAAATTTCTTCTAAAATTTAGACCATGCATGCATGTCTTACCCACAACACTTTGAACCATTTTTATGCCGTCTATCTCAGTTGTACCAAAACTATCCCTCTGTCACCTCTACTCTCATTCAAATTCATTAACCAACAAACCCATTACTCTGCCAGAAGCGCTTAGGTAACATTAACAGGCCTTCACTGTACCTCCCTTGAAATTGATCCGCATATATGACCCTATATGATCTCTTGTATGATTACAGCTCCCTCTTTCTTTCAAAACTATATTCTGTCATGTCTAAAAAGGAGTTTGGATGTCCTAGTGTTGGAAGACCAAGAAGCATAGAGGCATGTATGGGTATAGCCTGCAGTGTGTTTAACAAAGAATGCACAGTTTTTCTGAACAACACCAAATTTGGGGAGGGCAGAAAAGTTAGTTCTCGGAGTAGAATATCTTCTCGAATATCTTCAACATTATCAGTTTCAGGGAAACATTAGGATTTTTATGAGGTTTCTAGTGGAATCTGGTGGAACATCTCTCCCCTTTGAAAACATTAGTGACTGTGGGATTGACTATTGGATTACCTTTATGCTTCTGGATAAACTTGCTACTGATCCTACCAAGGAAGATTTCCCTTACTGGAAGGTCTCCAAAAATGGAAAGTTTTTAATTAAATAATCCTAGCGCATAGCCTTCTTTGCTTGGTGCAGTAGAATTTTAACTTTGGGATAACTTGATGAAACGAGATAGGCCCTTGGCTAGATATTTCCTATGCTTGAACAGGGAGGAATTCCCTAATCATTTTCTTCTTTATTGTTCTTAGACTAGAAAATTATGGGATTCAGCACTGTCTCTTCTCATAAGTCAAAGAAGAAGTTTATCTCCAGCTTTCTTCTTTTATTTTTCTTTTTGGGGTTACTTGGAACAGTAAAGCTTTCGACAACTCCTCCCCTTTCCATGTGATTAAGAATCATTTTCGTTTCGCTTAAGGGGAACCATCCCTGATGATGTAGATATTTTTCGCCTTTTTATCTTTTCTTCTCTAGGAGAATGCAATTTTTGTCTATTCTTGGTTGATCATGGGCAGTACCCCCTTGGTGCTAGGATCTTTTTTCTCCCAAAGAAAAAATTAAATCATGTCTAACATTCTAATAACTATTATTTATCTACAGTAAATATCTGTATTCTAAATACGGGAATAAAGAAAAGAGACCAAGAATTTCAAGCAAAAACTACATATACTCAAAAAGACATGAGCAACAAGCACCAAAATTTGAAACCAGAAAATGATCTGCTAGTAGAACCTCTATGATGATGTATGATTGGCTGCCTATGAGATTTATCTCTTTATGATCTCTAATGCAGATGTTTATTGCCCAGGTATTACCACTGATACAATACCAATTGCAATTAAGATCTATATAATTCACTTGCTGCATAAAGTGAAGTGGCCTCACACCCTTAACAGCCTAACTAAAAAGCACCACCACTGCCACCCTTGCATAGACTGAAGTTTGAAGTAGTTGTTCTCTTCCCAATCGATATTATCCAGTATCTGGTGTTGGTCAAGGCCTTATTTGCATGATAAGGCATGCGTTATTATGGAAGTTGGTAGCATTTCTACCATCACCATTGAGTTCAACATTTCTTGATAGAGATAGTGTTTATGCAGTAGCGGTAGTCAATCCATCAAATCTAAAAGTTATCAATTCAATTTAATGCATACCAACAAAGAAAGTAAAAGCTTTTGCATCAAATAGCATATCAAAGATTTTTATAGCATAAGTATTTGGTAGAAGACAATAAACAACTGACCTATGCCTTCTCGAATGGATAAATTCGGTCTTATTATCTCCTTGGAATTGACAAGAAATATGTCCCCGATGTATAGATGGTTTGTTGGGACATAAACGCTGCATAGCTCTTCATTTCCATTGTTGCCCTGGAATGAACCAAACAACGATAATTTCCAGAGAAAACTCAAAAGAAATTTATAGCATGGTCATTCCAGGAAGCAGAACATCATTCTCAACAATAAAAGCACCAAAAAGAAATGCAACAGATTTCCATAATTTGATATGTTCAGATGTTGTGACTAGACACCAGCTTCTAACTTAACATAATCCAAGAAGTTTAATTTTTTTTTTCTTTAAGAATATGTTAACAATAGCTTGTTTGAAAGAAAATTGTCTACGCACTCTGCCTTCACTTGATATTTCAAGACACTTCTTGGAAATGCATAGAATTTGTTCTGCTTATTACTTAATAGCATAGTAAGACTACTTCATTTTCTTTGCATATTTTTATATGCGTCAGTCTATCAGTTAACAAATTTTCGTTGATAAGCATATGTTAAGGATGTAAGTTTTTTCTCTCTTCAAGAAAGAAATGCCTTTGGAAGCAAAATTCGAGCAAGACAGGATTCAGAAATAAGAACATAAAAAGACATATAGGAACAGTTATCAAACAACACGCAATTGAAATAATGTTCTCATAGAATTTCTTGACCAAATCAAGAGATTGACTTATTCCAATATAAACATGCAAAATTACCTGAAGTACAACTGAAGACGTGATAAAGCCAAATGCATATTCACCAAGACGGGGATGACGAATAATCGCAAGCTCTTTAAAAGCGTTAGTGTTTTGATCTGTAGAGAAAAGGGAAGAATGTCATGGTTTTAACTAAATATCACTTATAAAAGCATTGCTCTCACAAATCAGGAAAATATTAGAAAAGGAAAAATATTCTATTTGGAGCAATTAGCATACAGGATTTCACAGGATGGTCAGGTAAAAAAAAAAGTATTGTGTGGCAAATGCAACTGCTCAAGGGAAACAGTGTCTTCAAATGCAACTTGGGTCTGCAAGCTGTACTATGACTCTGTTTGTGCACATCTATGTGGGTGCCAATACAAAGACACAGTGAATTGATTTCTCTCTTAGAAACAAAAACAAACAACTGATAATCAAAATCCCGCCTACAAATCTACTTAAAAATCAACCAACTAGTGAGGACAGGTTATGAGGAAAACTCTTTAGCACATCATGGATTTTTCTCTTCAAGATATTCTTTTTGAAAGAGAAAAAAGAAATCAAACAAAAGAAATCAAGACTTAGCTCTTCCTTGGAAAGGAAATATTAACCAATTCCTTTAAAAACCAAATGGAAGGTGTTACCTGGAGAAACAGCAGCACTAATTTGTTTGGAAGCTGAGTATATATGCTTCATAAAGGGCATTCGCTTTATAAACCATTCTCCAAGCCAGAAAACAGTGGAACCCAACCATGATGAAGCAAATATACCAACAAAGAAAATAAACAGTAGGGATGTAATAAAACCGAGGCCTGCATCATAAATGAGGTCAACTTAAAGCTTAAGTAAAATTGTCAGAGCCCAAGTAAATTATGAAGAAGAAAAATCAGCACAGTTCTACATGTGATCAACGTAGAAATGAAGAAAACTTAGGATAAATAACCATACTCTTTGTTGACTGAAGAATTGAAATCCCCCTCGGAAGAAAATAACATTCATCAGATGGAGGATTACTCTCAGCAGGACAATAGCAGAACCAGAATTAAAAATAATCAATAAGAACCAAACAGAGAACAAATCGTAACATGGATGCTCTATGAGTCCACTGCAAAAAAAGAAACATAAAATCTGAAAATGTTCCAATATTGGTCCATGTCTGTCATGATGGATGAGAAATCCCAAAAAGGGCACTGAGAAGCTACTGCCAAATGTTGCAAACGACCAGGCACCAGAAAAAATTGATAGAGAAAATATTGCAGGGATAGACATGCTAAGACAACAGGAACACTTATCCAGATGTAAGAGCGAAAGGAATTGCAAAATCCGTTGCCAGTGCAATAAATGTTCCCCTAAGAAATAATTTCATAATTTGGCAGCATAAGGAACAAGATTAAATATCAGAACAAGAATATCCAATTAGTGCTTCAAATCTTACCAAATACGTCAATACCAAGCCTGACATAAATTGGACTGAAGAAACCATCAAAAAACTGAATAAACCACCATGTCACTAGGAATGTAACAGCTACAGGAAACAGAACCATGCTGCAATTTCACCATTTCGAATTTGTTATTCTATGAGTAAATAATATAAAAGGAAAGTATGAAGCTATCAAGAAATAACCTTTTTTTGGTTACATCCTACCCACTTTTAAACTAAGTTTCAATTTGCACCTCTAGTTTTGAACAGCAACAACATGCACCTTTCATTTTGAACAGTAACAACATGCATCCCTCAGGGAAAAAACCATCCATGTTTTCTGAGTGACCCTTTCTACCACATTTGACAAAAAATTGCATCATTGGCTGGAACTTCCCTCGAAAAAATCATTAGACATATGTAGCATGTACAAAGAGCATAAAGAAATGCACATATGCTCATATATATATATATATAAAAGCAATTATCTGTTTCTGTTACTATTCAAGGCTAGATTATTATTTTACCACCAAACAATTAATTTTTTAATAGAAATTTTAACTGCATGCCAAAAGAACTTGACACCATAGATAACCTTTTGCCAGCTCTCTTCATGTTAGTTTTTTACTCTCTCATGAAAGCCTTTAGCAGTGATTGCGGTAGTGTGATCAGTGATAAAGATTGTGGGTTCTTTTACATGATTAGGAGCAATAACTGGTGGCAGTAATGGGTCAAAATTTTAATCGTTGACAATTTTTTAAACTAAAGGGATCACCTCGTGATCCTGACAATGTTCAAGGTGCATATCTAGTGTAACAAACATACATGGTGCAAATTGAGACTTCGCCTAGAAAAGAAGACGTAATAAATCAAACCTCAGAAGGAAAAATAATGAAAAGGCACATTGGGCTAGTTACCATCCAGTCATGAACTTCTTTGAGACCCAACTCTGAAGGACAGCATAACAGGCCTGCCCAAATTCAAAATTTAGTGATCTTTGACAAGGAAATTAGTTTTCATAACATATCTGGAAGGGCTATGGTCAATATTAGAAGTTAGAACTAATATAATTATCACCATGAAACTGCAACCACCAAAAATTTTAGCAGGCACACCAGAAAAGAGTTTTTTTTTTTTCTATGAAACAAGAAAATATTATTAGAAAGGGAAAAGAAAAAAGTATAGCAGTGGTAGGAGAAAAACAAATCCTCCTAATCAAAGAAAAGGAAAAAAGAAACAAAAAATGATTTAACATATAGCTCCCAGACTCTATGAAGATAGCCAAAGGTACATCCCTAAAATGCCATGAGCTTTGGCCTAGAGAGAAGCCAGGAAGATCATTCTATCATAGAGGACCAGAGGAGGTATAAATTGTTCTTTCAAGAGCCTAGCATTTCTCTCCAGCCACAGCACCTGCAATCCTGCAAATAGAGCTCCTCTCCAAAGTAACATTCCCTCTTTCATTTCAAGTCGCCCTATGCGTCAAACAGCCTGGCCTAAGGCCTTCAAGCCACATCATAATGCCAAAAAAAAAGTAGTGACAATGGAACTCCCCTTTCTAAGGAAAGGGTATTATTGAGCCTATGGACTTGAAGCTAATTATTTGTGCTGAGCATGTTAAGAATAAATGTCCAATCAAAATATTTACTTCCCAAAGAGCATTTACCTTCTGAAAGGCGTTAATAAATACCACATTCTGACTAGTGGGACTGTGATTTCAATAGGTAAAGAAAGATTGCATGAAGAATCCAAAGCCCAAGCTCTGGTATAGGATTAGAAGAAACAATAGAAGCCTCAAGGAGGTTAAGGAGAGCATGTTGTCAATCTTATTAAACTTTCCAAAAGATAATAGATTCTAACAAATGTAACCTTCAAAATGAACCAAGAAATTAAAGCTAGGGGCATTGTGTCGATGGAAAAGGTTATAGAGATGCGGAAAACGATTAGCTAAGAGACATTGATAAAGCCAAATGGCTTTAAATAAAGTATGGGAACCATCACCTGCCCTTAAATGGGTAAGGGGAAGAAAAATATCACAATGCTAAGAGATGGCTTTCCAAAGGACTCCTACAAGTCATAATGGTTTTTCTTTCTGTTCTTCTTTTGTGTAAGTAAGGATGATATCTTAACTGTAAGTACTAACTGAGACATGTCTAACGTTGCATGTGTATATATAAGGGAGAGAGACAAGGACAAGGAGACATAGTTCTATTAGAGAGAGATACATATAGAGATAGAGGATAAAGTAAAAGTTAGAGAGAGAAAGTTGCCATGTACTACTAATGCTTGCAAAAATTGTGGGGTGTGAGGAGGCCATGGTGCCTTCTCCGACTAGGAAATTTCTTGTTATTGAAAGAAAATCTTTAAATGTGGGGTTTGTAGGTAGAAGAAATGAGGCATAAGGATAAGCAAGAATGGGAGAGGGTTCAGGTCGACAATAAGTTTCTGGGCAACAGAGGTAGAATGGCTGCTGAAAGCATTGCAGGAGCTCTACTGGACAAAAGGAGAAGACATTAGGGTGCATAGCACGGTTTGGAAACATCATGTCCCATGGCTGGCCATTAGGGACACCAAAGAAGAGAGATTTTTGGTTTTCATAGAAAGGAAGGGGGAAGCGAGAAGGAGAATTTACAACCCGAAGGATCACAAGCAGGTGGTTGGTGGAGAATGATGGCAACTTTGTTTGAGGCAACAGGAAGGAGCTCTTTGGAACCAATCCCTAAAGGGTCTGAATCCGGTAGGAAAGGAGAGTGCCACTAGGGTGGCATAGAGGGTGCCGAAATGCCTTCTAAGATGCTTGAACTGCCATGAGGAGCTGAATGTTGTGCTGGAAAAAGGGGATGCTAGGCAGTTTGTGGACGTGCTGAAGGAAGGATGAGGAGAAGGGAGTCCGGTAGGGAAGAAGAAAACCAAAACATATTAAGTTGCATCATTTCGAACAACCTGTTCAAAATGTGGGAATTCAATTGGGTAAGCCCATCCCTAAAGGGCTACCTGGTTTAATGAGAGACTTGAACAGAAGAATTCAGTGGGCTGAGAAGGGAAAATGGATTATGGGAAATAGACCTGGGTTTAAGAAAATCGGAGAGCCCTCGGCTCAAGGAAAATAGTGAGGCTTGAGTCTAAGAATTAGGGAAGCAGAAGGGGAGGACAGATGCAACACAAAGGTGATGGAGGATGACTTGGAGACAACTTCTGACGATGAAAATGATCACAGAGAGATGGGGGAATACAGTCCACTGGGAGGGGATGGAGGAAAGGAGGAGTTTGAATCGTCAATGGAGGCAACTGTAGATGGTGAAGCTGAAAATCCAGAAAAGGACGAGGGGGAGGCTGTCTTGCCTCTGGCTATTGTTTCGTAAAGGAGCACTGACAAGGTGGCTGTGGAAGTGCAATATAGGAAGTCTATTGTAAAGGAAGAGAAGAATTTGCAAGTGGCTATTTATAATAGTGAAAATAAGGGAAGGCTGAATGAAGATGAAATTTCCAAATGTGTCCTCAATAATGCTTAAAAGATAAGCAAAACGTTTGGCGTGAGTTTTGAGGAACTTGAAGAGCAGAACATTGACCTTTTTAGGGAGATTGAGAAGAGGAGGAAAGAGGAGGCAAACAAAAGAAATCCTAAGTTAAGTATAAAGAAAAGACAATGAGTAGATAAGAATACAGAACTGAAGG